AATCACGGCTGATGGAAGGGATAGATCGTGGGGCTGTTTGATCAGATAGAATTCCCCTGTCTCGGCTCTCTGGCGACAGCCGGCCTCTTGCACAACTAGCGACACCAGTGCGCCGGTTTAGCAACAGCTGGGCCGCTTTGGCCGGCCAGCAAGGCGGTTATAATTGGCAAGCATCGCAATGCCGCCAGAGTGGCAAATAGACGCTGGTTACCTCACCTGCCACAATCAACCCGACCATGGGGCAACCCAGGTCATCACAATGAGCCGCCGTGACTGGTCAGCAGGGCTGCGCGAGGTTAAACGGTCCTGAAATTGGATCGTGAGCTCCCGCACTTTGCCCCCGTTTCCATGCGCTCCACAATGCACACGCCGCTCCCGGAGCACTCTCTTGCCCTCCGTTCACCGGCAGGTAACCACCAATACAAGAGAGGACTGCTTTCTAGCCTGCTGACCCTGATTGTGCGGCATTACGGAGACGGTGATGATTGACATAATGGCGCTGGCGGCCGGGGGCGGCTGGCGCCGGCGTCGCCCGCCGGTCTCGGCCGAGACCCGCACGGCCGAGGCCCGCCGGTCCCGGTGGTGCGGACCTCCGCTTTCCGCAGCGACTCGCCGGCGCTCGGCGCGCTCTCCACGGCGCCGAGCCGGCAGACCCGCCGGCCATTGTTCGGTCTGAGCAGCGTTTCACAAAGGCGATTAAGCCATCCGGATCAAGCGCGGTGCGCTCACCGGAGAAACGCTAATTCGCAGCCCGTAACGCGAGCACAATGGCGCAGGAGGCGCAGACTCGACATCTGGCGCACTGCTCGGGACCGGCGGCTCGTGAGCGGCCAACGCGCCTCGCCAGAGTCCGGACGGCCCGGGCTGCCGAGGAGGCGGCCGGCGTCGGCCAGCGACCGGCGCACCGCGAGGCGGCCGGGGAAAACGGCCGAAAACGACGGAAAACGGAACACGGGAAACGACGCCGACCGCCGCTCGGAAGCCAGCCCAGTGTTTATCGATCCTGGTTTCAGAAAATTGTCGGGCAAGCGAGACCGAAGCGGAGACGCCACACCTGCACGGCCTGGCGCCTGTAATCAGACGCGGCGGTCTTCCAGCCACGCGATGGCCTGCGCCGTCAAAATCGAGATCGCCGCGGTGAAACGCTCCGGTGGCGCGTGACGCTGTGACAGCGGCGTGGCCGGTGGAGACCCCTCGTCCATGGCCGCCGCCGTGCGCCTGACGGACTGACGGCATCGAGAGCCAGCGAACACCCGCGCGTTCCCCAGCCCCCAGCCTCCGCCCCCAGCCGGACCCATCGCGAGCCAACGAACACCCGCGTTTCACAGCCCCCAGCCTCCGCCCCCAGCCGGAACCCATCGCGGCCGACGCCACTGAGGAGCCCCCGGCGTCGTATTACGATAGATCTGTCGCACCTCATGTTCGATAACTACCCATAGTTCGAGGGCAAATTCGGCTTTATTCGCCGGCAAATAACCGTAATTGGGCGAGGCCTAATTTATCTAACAGCCGTGAGACGCGTGTTGAACCACGCTGACCGCCAAGGCTGCCGGTCTGGAGCGCAAACCTTCCAAGGGGTCTCGCGGCCTCGCGAGATGGAACAGCTCACAACAGGTCTGTCTGAGCGCCGGCATGGGAGTCGGCTTTCGTAACGTCAGTTCATGACAAACATCAACTGGTCTCTGCCACACCAACACCGAAGTCCGATTGATCTACATGTTGCCAAATTACCGCGCCGTAAGAAAGTGAACGGCCTCGTGAAAAGCGCCGGCTCGCTCAGAGTCGTTGTTGTAAGTTCTCCTATACCGTCTTTGCTGTAATTCATCACTCCAGGCGATGCACTGAGCTTTCAGATTAAGGCAGACAAGCACAATACGATGAGGTTACCGTTCCGGAGCTGACATGCAATACTCTACCCGGCATATAGGCATTTACATCACTTACAAACTGGCTGATTGCCTAACGGCTCAGTTCAAGGTTGTAAGGCTGCGACCGGGCGGGCCTGAACAGGCTAGACCACCCGTTTTTACAGGCTTGCACAATACTCGCTGACAATCGACGCATGCTGGCCGCTCCAGTTTTTGACTGACAGCGTGGGTGCCGAGGACAAATTCAGCTCTAAGTATCTCCATATCACACATGCCGCCGTATTTCTCTGGCCGCGCCAAAGGATCACGCGATAGCAGATCTTTGACCGGCCAGCGACATTCGGCTACTAGGGCTCACACGGACAGAGGTCATGCACCACCACCAACCTTCCTCGTCCTCGGCCGAGTGGGTGTCACGGGAAATATCTGCAAACACGCCGCTGGCTCAGACCACAGGTGGGCCCAGCCGACAGGTCGTCGCAAACGACGAGAGGCGCGAGCGGCAGACGGCTGGGTGGCCCGGCTAGGGGGAGCAGGGTTACAGCGTGGACAAAAGTGACAGTCACTCAGGCTAAGGGGGAACAGGGTTATAGCGTGGACAAAAGTGACAGTCACTCACGATAGAGGGAGCAGGGTTATAACGTGGACAAAAGTAACAATCACTCAGGACAGGCGGGAAAGGGAGGAGAAGTGGAAGAAAACATAACCGAACACATTGCAAAAGGGAAAAGAAAACGTCACCGCGAAAAAGCGTATGCACGAGAAATGTTCGCAAACGCAGTGACCCTGCTAAAGGAAACTGGGCCCTTCGTTAACTTGTCACTCACTGCAGGCACTGGTGACGCATCACTGATCGCAACGATGCATAGTAACAACATTACTGCGGTGCCCTCGAACATACACTCCATGCAATTTAGCGGATATCATCTGTCCGCCTTTGTACAATACCTTGCACTGTCCAAAGCTTTATGTATCGACAGCTTTGAATAGCATCAGGACCAGCTCCACCAACTGCTTTGAAATAGCGCAAACGCGTGAACAGTAGTGTAACAGGGAGAAGGAGTACATAACCGTCGCTGTTGAGCAGTGATGAGACAATGAAGAGTAAGCATCCTAAATCACTAATAGTGGGATAATGCGCTGTCGTGTTACATACTTTGTGATGTCAAAGGAGTCTTCCAATTAATTATTTGCTGTAAACTACAACATCGCATTGTTGGAAAAGGAATCGACTCAGTAAAACATGGCGATACCGCTTGGTTGTACCGCTAGCAGCATTATAGGGCTGCAAGAAATAAAAAATGTGCATATTTGGCTGGCAAGAAATGCGCGTTTCAAAAAGGTGAAATGACAGTTTTGTTTCAGAATGTGATAGGGCATCATAATCCACTTCGAAAGGATCGAGTTCTGAAAATTTAAGGCGTCTACAAGCTTGACCTGCCTTTGCCGGAGGGGGAGGGGTTATAGACATTAAGGAATAGACCATGATAATCCCGTCCATGGATTGGATTTACATTTCAAGCTGAATCAGATTGCGAATGCGAGCTCAATTTTCAACAAATGCCTCCGTAAAAAAACCGCACATTAATGCTTTGATAAATGCAAACGCCTAAAAAATAATGAACAGCCCATCACGTGATATCAAATCCTTCAATCCGACCTTGCCCATTCCTGGTAGTGTGGCATGCGGCACGTGTGAGGAGTGGGTATCCTGTCGTCCAGAGGCCCGCAGCACGTGGCGCGGCCGTTCCAGCGGGGTGAGGGTAGCTCCTGAACCGTGACGTGCTGTGACAGGGGAGGGCGGGAGGGGGGGGGGGGGGGGGGGGGGGCAGCGGAGCATCGCACGCCAGCGTGCGTACAGCCCGCCCCATCCCTCTGAACGGCCGCGGCCGCAGGGAACCGAGACGGACACAAGGCGGGCGGCGATGACGCCTCGGATCCCGCTCGAGGGTCCGGCTCAGTACCTGGCACCGAGGACGCGCGTCACGTCCGGCACGGGGGGTAGGGGAAGGGAAGGGGGCACGGGTCAGGTCTGCCGGGGCATGCTGGCACGGACGGGGACGTGTCAGTTTGCACGGCGGTAATGCCGGGCACACCGTCTTCCTATCCCGCCAAACCAGAGTGGGTGGCTTTGAGCAGCCGGTTTGTAGCGAGCGGACAGGAAAGTAGTGCCGGTGTGTGCGGCGGACTTTCCGCAGCGCACCGCACCACCGGTCCGTGATCCCCCAGGTCTTCTCCCCCCCCCCCCCCAACCCACTCGTCCCCAGTCTAAAAGACACGGCTCAGGGATCTTCTCCCCACTGGGACGAAGGCAGTATAAGGATGTTGCCTCCGGACTGCCGAATAACCCCGTGTCTGTCGTATGCACTATATCCCCACACGTCACTGCTTCAGGATGAAACGTCCTTTAACGCTGACCCGTGCACCGGTCAGTTTCAGCTTACTCAACAAGTGGAGGGCCATGTCTGATTCCGATCAGAAGCCTTTGTTTAAAACAGACGAGTTTTTCGTCAGATGCCAAATGTAAATTTCGTCAGATGTTAACGGTATCAAAGTGGCCGCCGGCATGAGAGGCGATAAACAAACAAAGGACATCCGTCAGCCTCCGAACAATGCGCACATTCCTTTCCTTTGTGCAAAGGTTGGCTTTGCTATTGTTGTTTAAGTTGTGCTACGCCGTGCATTTAAGTTACGAAAGCCATATGGAAGATAACATCTTCAGCCGCGCCATGTAACGCTGTGACATCAACGTCCTAAAGTTACCTTGACGATGCACTACGGCACATAGATAAGACTTCAAGGCCCTGCCAATTCCTGCTTTGTGTTTACTGGAAAAAGCTTCTTTGCTTGGCTTAGTTAGAGAATACCTATGCTTCGGGTAAATATTTCTGTACCCTCCACAAGGACAATATGAATGGCATTGTTGTCGACAGCAGAAACTTAATCGAGCGAAACATGAATGGAGCTGCGTGATGATTATCAAGGATAAATTTATAAAAAGAGGACATTAAAAAACGTCAATACTTAAGCCGTGGAGCCCAGCTGATCTAGACATATCATTGAAGAAGGCATCGAAATTCACTTGCAATTATCATTGCTAAATCGAGCCGTAGCTAAATCGTCACTCAGCCCATATGGCATAGTGATTTCAATCGGCCGAATTAAACATTGCCGTACTCGTGATATAATAGTGCGTGGGTATCTCCAATGTCGCCCGTGCTCTCTTTAAATTTGTCTTCGCCGACTGAATTTTGCCAGTGCCCAAAGGCAGTGTCCAATTTTATTAGTGTTCCACTGTCCCATATGCCACTTACGTGTCATTGCCATTGTCTGCCTATTTGAGCATGCTCCGCCTTTTGGCTCTTTTTTCTTTTGAATGACATTTGTTTAAGACTCTAGCAAGCCATCACGCCGTTCCGGTCATGTTTCACAATAACGAGAGTAACAGCCGCAGTCTCAACACAGTTATGCTGCTGTGCGTCCATGTCGATGTTATCCATGTTAATCCCATGAAAAGCAGAGCGAAATGTGCCGAAATGCAGGGCTTTTGAGACTAAGCCACACTAAATACCTTCTCCGGTGAAGATTTAACAATGAAACGAGTACCGATCTTAAAGAAATGTCTCTCAAGTCACACATCGCTTTGACAGCTACAAAGCCGCATGTAGCAGTCTCTTGTGACGTGTTGCCACCCGGTCAGGAATTGGCGTGAACGCCACATTCACAACACACATCCCCTTCCCAGTCGTCGCAGCAACCGATGCAGCGTGAGCCAGACACGCCTGCGGCCACCGCCGACCACTTCCTTTCGAGCCAGTAAACGAGGAGGGCGCGCGGGGGGGGGGGGTGCCAGCGCGGCCAGTGGCGCACACCCCGCCACGGTGCACTGAACTGGCGGGCGAGACCGAGGTCGCTGGGCCACCGGCGCGACCACCGCGGCTGTTGAGCTCCATACGGCCCCCCTTCCATACGGCTCCATACGGTCCGCTTCCAAGTCAGTCCTGCCGCGAGGCTAGCGACCCCAAAACGGCGCCAGCCAGCGGCCAGTTGGCTGTCTGGCATTGGCAACGCAGCTTGGCGAAAGGCGCCTTTTCATACAGCCGAGAGCAGTTCCAGATTTGGCCGTGGGATAAGGCACCCCACGGTGGCGCAGTATCACAAGGCCGCTGCACTATCACAAGGCCCTGCGGGTTGACCAGAGGTCCAGTCGCACCCGCTTGGATCACACGTAATTTCCCGGATAAGGCCTCTGCAGCGATGGGAGTCCCCGGTTGTGCAACTTTGGGTCTGATGAAGCCCCCGGCGGGTACGCCTGCAGCAGGCTATATGATAACTGACAAAACGGGCGGAATTTCGCAACAATGCAGATACATCACGGCCTCGTAAGAAGTTGGTTTAACACTTAAAACAAAGTTAGGCTGAGCGACTGAAAGGATAATGCTGAATCGAAAGGACCACAGTGTAATGCTCAAAGTTTTACGTTTTACACTCTTGGTAACCACGCGTTGCCCCACTTCACAGCTCATGAAAATGGGTTCGGCTGTTAGGATAGGAAAGACCACGTTTCCTCGATTTTCTTTTCAAACACAGTTCTCACGAAGTACGCCCATAATTTCACGCATTGGCGTCCCACCCTTTTCCACCAGTGGACTGCGCCTTCTTGTCAGTCTGTGTAAACGTACTCACCACTATTTCCTCGCTGCGGTAAGGATTCAGTCCCGTCAAGTCCGGTTCAGTGAGAGGTGGGGGTCATATCGGGTCTGGTCTGGTCTGGTCTGGTCTGGTCTGGTCTAGTGCAGACTTGACCTGACCTGGCCAGGCCTGTCCGGGGTACTCACCGCCATCTCCTCGCTGCGGTAGGCCGTGAGCGACTGCTCGTCCTGCAGCAGCACGCAGAAGAACGGCTGCCAGTTGACCAGCGGCACACCGTCGTCGTGCACCCGCTGGCTGCCCAGGTGGCCCAGTCGCACCGGCCGATCTGCCGGAGGTCGGACGAGCTCAGGTCACCGCGCAGGCGCAGCCGCATCGACCGTCAGAACACACGGAGCTTTGGACGACACGGTGCGCTGCCCGAGCAGAGATCCCATGTGGTATGCGATTCATAACAGCTGGGTTGACATGGCTCCTGCTCCAGCAGGAGGCAGCTTACTTATCAAGCAGATATGTTTTATAACGATTTAGCACCAGAAAATCGAGATATCTTAGCTTTCATCCGCCCTTCAAAAGAGGCGCTCTGTAGATATCCCTAGAAGTCTTTCAAAATGATCAACGATGTCCACCTAACGCATTTGGAGGACACCATATCGCTATTCTGACCTCGCACATTTGGTGAGCATGTCAGTGCAGCTGCATTTTCAAGCGCTGTTATCATGCCTCACGTATTTGGTTCGGATCCAAAATAGACCTATCGCCTTCGAGCATAGCCTGTGGAGAATCCCATGGCCTACAATGCAGTGTGATATATACCACAATTAAACTTGCCTTCTGCTCATCCCTCACAGCGGTTGCGAAAGGAGACGCATGCCGCATGGCTTTATTTCGGTTACGGTTGCTCCAAAACCTGAACCCGGTTGGAGGACATGTCAGCCCAGCGTTTGTAGGTGGCGCCGCGCTCAAAGCACCGCGCGCTCGATAAGCGCGCATGTGCTGCCACCTAGCAAGCACCGTGAACTACAGTTTCCCTTTAGCGCCACGAAGTGGTGCGCTGCCGCGGGAACGCAAGAGCACAACTGCAGCGGAGCACAGGCTCGTAACGGAGGAGACTTCGAACGGGGTGCTCCTCCAGCGGCAGAAGGAAAGTCAAAAACCCAGACAAGGGGCGCTTATGGCGCTGCTCAATCAACAAGGACGTTTTTAAGTTCAGCATTAGTGACCTAAATCAGTTTTAACACGGTACTTTCAATTCATTTCATGTGCGTGATTTGCGTCCGTTTCGATTCTAGCAGGCAAGCCCATCAAACACTCATCTGACCTAATGCATCGACAGGCTACAGGAGCGATTGTTCAGACGAGTAAATACAATCCCGTACTGGGGGTCACGCCAGGAAGCCGTGAAATCGACACCGTCCCGGACAAACTGGATGGCGTCACGCCAAATTCATCGTTTGCGTAACGATACAAGCCGATATTCTCAGAGCCAAAGACGGGTCAGGGTCAGGGTCACGAATAAATGTGTTACAAGGATGGGCTTGGAGCCACTCTTAACTACATTAACCAATGTTTGGGGGTGACAAACTACACTGGACAGCAAGCCTGGGGCCAAGCGTATGTGATGCTTTATGCAATGCAGAGGCATCCACGAATAACGATTGGGAAACAAATGGGTGGAAAGACAGCCTTTAAAGTCAGGCCAGCTAATGTTCACATGTGCCATGACCAAAATTTGCGTAAATCCCCAATTCTGAATCGGAAGGGCATCACGCCCGAATGGAAAAAATGGAAACGGTGAGTGGCATTCGTGGGAAAGTCAGGGTGAAGAATAGTGATCGCCGGAAGATAGCATTCATTCAGCACCGGGCGCATAGACAACAACTAGCCTGATAACAAATCAGGGCTCCCACGTTCTCGACCACGGCCAAAAGGATCCGGGATCAGTTCCCGCGGGAGCCGACATAGGCAACGTGTGCAGCGTGCCTCCCTCTCAGTTCGCTCGTCGGTGTCTGGGCGTCGCGCAGTGCCTTCGCGGACAGTTATGCGCGGCCGTTACGTCGCCGAGCCCTGAAGCGCCGCATCGGGGAGGGGACGGGGGGGGGGGCAGCTGTGGTTCCCGCGGCGCCAAACGCTGGGCACCTCGCCGAGGAACGCCACTGCCACATCGGAGAGGGAGGGAGGGGGGGGGGGGAGACTGCGCCTCCCGCGGCGCCGAACGCTGGGTGCCTCCCCGGGAACGCCACTGCCACGTCGGAGAGTAAGGAGTGAGGAGGGGGGGGAGGGGGGGGCAGATTGTGGTTCCCGCGGCGCCAAAAACGCTGGGGCACCTCCCGAGGAACGCTCACTGCCATATCGAGAGGGAGGGAGGGGGCAGCTTGCCTCCCGCGCGCCGAACGCCGGACACCTCCCCGAGAGACGCCACTGCCATATCGGAGAGGAGGGGAGAGAGGGGGGGGGGGGCAGCTGTGCCTCCCAGCGGCGCCGACGCCGGACACCTCCCCGAGGAACGCCACCGCTCAGGCCGTCAGCACCAGGCGACGCTGCGGAGTATCGCCCCTGCTCGACAGGTCGCAGCTGTACGCGGTCCATCCGCTGGGCCGTGGCGTCGCATCTGCCGGCGGACCGGCAGTCGCGAGCGCCTTCGACTATTCCCGCCACGCTCCGTATGCGGCTGCCGCACGCGGAGACTGTGCGTGCACCACCGCCGTCGGTCAGCCGGAGGACGGCCTGGGTCCACGCCTGGTGCGCCGCCGTCGCCGGCCCGCGTCGTCACGCCACCGGCCGGCCGCCCGAGCGTACGCCCGCCGTGCCAATGAAAAACCGCCGCTGTCGGGCATGCCGCCTTACAATGGGACGTTAAGCTATGCTGGCCATCAGCCACGGCTCATAAATTAGACAGTAGATCATGGAAATCTTGTTAATCGTCTTGCCAAACACAGCGGTGATATCGATGGACTGTGCTTTGTGATTGTGCCGGCTGGTGACGGGCTTGATACGGCAGCAGGCTTCATCTCACGTACAGATTATGCTCTAGTGGCCTAACAACCTGATTAGGACACTAATCCGGTCTCTCCATTGCGATGGAAAACTCCACACTGCAGAGTTTAGCCTGCCCTATACTGAAGAGCACAGGCAGGGGTTGTCCCTACTTCTTTGCAACTAGCAAGTAGCAAAACAGATACCTGCCAGGTATGAAGGGTGGAAATGCATCTCCACGCATTACCGGTGATGTTCGAAAACGTGCGCACAATGGGACCGGAGCGCTGTCGATCATACAAGCACGGCGCTTATCTCCGCGTCAGTCGGCGTTATCCGAAGGTTGGTCTGATCAGTAATCTCCCCGCCGCAATACGTCGGTCCCGTGGGAAAGTGTCCGCCAGAGTCGACCCTGCGTGCGATCTCCAGCCGCCGGGAGTCCGACTCATGGGCTCTCTGCGGCCGCCGGGAGCCGGTCCCATGGACCCTCTCCAGCCGCCAGGAGTGCAACTCATGGGCACTCTCCAGCCGCCAGGAATCAGACTCATGGCCCTCTCCAGCCGCCAGGAGTCCGACTCATGGGCACTCTCCAGCCGCTGGGAGCCGGTCTCATGGGCCCTCTCCAGCCGCGTGAGGTCAGTCCCATGGGCCCTCTCCATCCGCCAGGAGTCAGTCCCATGGGCCCTCTTCAGCCGCCAGGAGTCCGACTCATGGGCACCTCCGCGGCCGCCGGGAGCCGGTCTCATGGGCAGCGCGGCCGCTGCAGTCGGTGTCGCGGCTAATCTGACGTCCGTGTGTCAGTGCCATCGGTGCGACTGCAGCTGCGCCGATCCAAGCGCGCCTAACGGCCGACGGACCGGCACCGAGCCCGCCGCCCTGCCCACCGGGCGGGCGCTCAAGGCCCCCAGATGACGGCCGCTAGATGGCATAGATTAAATGCCGGCCCGCTTGACGTTTTTACGGCAGTGTCCGGAGTAAGCGGCGCGGCCACAGGCTGGGCTTAAACTGCACGGAGCGTGCGGAACGGAAGGACGACACGGCGTCCGAGGGGATGGGTGGCTATGAATTGCCGAAATTGTGGCATGCCTTGGGTTACTGCTGGGATGGGCAAGTCGGGCAACTTAAGTAAAATATACAAAGTTCAATTTGGAGATAATTCAGTTTCAATATCACCCCTCCCCACTCCCCCTTCCTTGTTGGCATGTGTTCGTCCTTGTGACTACCTCGAGTGAAAAGCGCATTGCTAGACGGATTGCGCATTCGCAAGCCTTTGACCATGCGAGGAATCCGCCGGCACACGGAGCGCTCCACGACTGCAGGATGGCACGCATTGCCGTCGCCCGGCCTGGCATTGACGACGGTCCGGCGAGGCCTAACAGATGAGGCCCGCCGCGCCCTACCAGGCTGTCGGCGCCGCTCGCCGCCGCGCCGACCGGACCGCGAGAGGCGCCGCTCCTCGCGCCTGCGCCAGGTGGACGTGGCGGCCTCTAATTGCCCGGCGCGATGCCATCGCCGCCGCCCGCAGCCGGTCCGAGCCGGTGACCAGAGCTGTGACAGACGGCCGGTCCGAGCCGGTCCGAGCCGGTGACCAGGGCTGTGACAGGTGACTGGTCCGAGCCGGTGACCAGAGCTGCGACGGACGGCGCTCCAGCTGGTCTGGGCCGGTGACCAGGGCTGTGACAGATGACCGGTCGGAGCCGGTGACCAGGGCTGTGACAGACGGCAAGTGCGAGCCCGTGACCAGGGTTGCGGCGGATCGCGCTCCAGCCGTTCGGGCCGGTGACTAGGGATATGACAGACGGCGTTCCAGCCGGTCCAAGCCCGTCATCAGAGCTGTGACAGACGGCCGGTCCGAGCCATTCCGAGCCGGTGACCAGGGCTGTGACGGACGGGGCGCTCCAGCCGGCCCGCCCTCGCCCGATGACGGGCCAGCGCGACCATCGACGCCACCAGGTCAGCCGGCCACGCGGCCATCGGCGGCCACCACGCGGCCCGGGTCGCCTCTCCCGACCGGCGGTGCCGCCAACATTCCATCACGAGCCCATCGATAGAGTAGGTGTGATGACTTAGCGAGCTGACCCCTGGTGGTGAAGTACGGCAGCTAGGGACATTACAGAGGGAACACCAACAGGGCTAATGAAATCGGGCACCGCAGGGAATAGGGTCCACTCACGTCGGAACACTCAGCGCAGTCCGGGAAGCCAAACAATCCACTTACAACACCCAACAGGCACATCCTCGCGTGTCAGGCTCTGTAAGTAGCACATCGGTTTCCCACTGAATATGGTGCGACCGCCGGTCGGGCAGTGCGTGTTGGCTCGACAATGTCCACACGAAGCCGCGTGATCCGCT